GCGTTTAGGTATAGTAGATAATAGTATGATAATAAAAGCATCACTCAGTTCAACATACATAAATAACTGAAATTTTAATAAGAATAGGAAGGCATTGCTTTTAATATATATACCAACTTACCAAATGGACAACCAACACTAGAAACAAGAAGATCATTGGTGCAAAAGAATATGCATTTCTACTCTTTTGGTTATAACTCATAAATGTTCTGTCATCGCTATGCAATTATGAATAATAGTAGTTTAAGATTGCTTAAATCATCTACTGCTGATAATCATCTACTGATACCTTATCAAGTCATCAACTTCACAAAAATAATAATTAATAATATTACAAATACCATCGAATTTGTAGGTTACTTTACCACAGGAACTTGTATAATTAATTTTCAAAAATGTGCGTTTTAGTGAATTATAGAAAAAACAAACTTATACAGCTTCAATTCCCAAAAGTAAGTATAATTTCTTTGCCTAATAATGTGAATGTATTGAACATCAAATGCTAATACTGGGCTTAAATATTCTAAGGTAAATAGAAATTATCCTGAAAGTTATACTCAGTAAGCTGTAGTCATATCTATCTATTTGATCTTGATTGTAATTCTTAGTCTTGGGTATGGTGAGGGTACGCATGTATGTACAAATGACGGGTTTGATGGGGTTGAATATTCCACGCATCGTTTTGATGGGAACTGATTTTGCACAGTTCCCTTGAAGAGAGGTTTCTTTTCACTTACTAGATTTCTAATATAATGAGCTTAAAGACTAAAAGCTAGTTTGTATTAATAAGCACTAGATACAGTACCTTTAAATGTGGCCAATAAACATACTTGAGGAATCACAACACTAATTACTGATCTTTTTTATCACCTATTCCTGGACCAATAAGAGATAATGGAACCTTTCCTCTTTCTTCAAGTTTATTTTGAAAGATACTTTCTAGCTTTACAAGTAGATATTAATCTTGATGTAACATATCGTAATTTTTCTTCCTAACTTTGAATTAGAATATGAATAGTTTTGAGCATAATAGACATTGCCCCTTCATTTGAGTACTAAAAGTGCTAGTTGACGACATATTTTTTGTGGTAGCGCTAGTTGACTTTTTGTAATTTGGAATTCTAGAAACTTAAATTTAAGATAAAATGAAATCAATTACTTTCGTATGGATAAATATTATTACTATGTATATATTATATGCAAAAATTAATTTGAGAATTGTTTATATTAATAACTCATAAATTACTGATTATAAAAATATGATGTAGCTCTTGCATACTTACAATTTTTTTAGAGTATATCAGAAAAACAATCATTGTTTTTACCTCCTAATTCAAGTGTAACCTTTTTCAAGTTACTTGATGAAGAGTCTTTTCTTCTGATACTGTAAACTACGTTTACTACTTCTCTATGATTGGTAATCCTCCTTCCAACTACTTCATATCCTGGTATTACGTTAATTATACCTGGAGGTAATATTTTTTCAGCAGAAATTGTGTTTGCTAATATTGAAGTAATTAATTGAATTTGTGTGCTGGTTTAAATATAATTGCATTCCCACAAGCTAAACTTGGTGCTAATTTTCATGATGCTAATAATAAAAAATAAAGCTTTTTATCAATTCACATATTCAACAGGTTTCTAATGGTATGAGTGTAGCTTGTTTATACAAAGGGTAGTGTGATCAACTAATTTGTCCATGTATCCTGCAAAAAAATCTATTGAAAATTGTAATTAGAAAACTATAATGCATTTTTAATAGAAATTTGAATTTAAGTAATTTTTAATGATACCTAAATCATTCTGCAAATTGGATACTTCAAGTTTAAAATCTTTAATTGTTTGGCTTCTTTCAAATTTTTATCAATACCAACAGCTATTTTTAGTAAAATATTTCTTCTGTCAGTTCCGCTTAATGATATCCATAATGTTAAATGTAAAGCATCTGTTGCAGCTTTAACAGCTGAATCAACATCACTGATTGATTAGTGTTTCGTTATTAACATGAGAGGAAGATGGAACCGTGAATTTATTATTAATAAATGGGCAAGCTATCTTTCAGAGTACATTTGAATAATTCTTTTCTTTTTTTTCAAAAAATTTTTGCAGAGAAAAATTCTTTTTTGTTGATTTTTCCAAAATATCATATATGCTAATCTAATTGTTCGACTTAATAGGTTAGATTCTATCCATTTTTACGACTCCCCCAAATAGTTCTAAATATTAATTTTAATTTAATAACTAGGCAAACTTAGCAGCATGGCATTTAAATATGTCAACCAAAAAAGTATATCCGGTAGGTAAAAATTTTCTTACCTTTTAGGTGTAATTTTTTTTGATCTTGCCCAATAGTGTCCCAGTCTGGATGTAAAATTTACATCAAGGTGTACGTCTGGGCGTACTGTCACCTTAATAGCAATCTTAGAAATGGACAACATGGATTTTAAACCAATCCTACTATGCTTTAGAGGTTATACTTTTAACTGATTTATTTACCAAATGAATCGCTATTAAGGTATTATAAAAAATAATATGCTATAAAGGATTTCTGAATCGTGCCAAAGGCATTACAGGCATTTCGTGTTCTTCATACCCTTGGCACTTATAAATGCAATCTGACATAGCATAAATTTTATGATACCCTAAAAATGATTCTGACACGGTAACAAAGCCCTGTAATACTAATTGTCCGGAGTGAAGTGAAGGACAATATATGTCAAAAAAAATTGATCATGTGAATTTCTCTGTCCGCCATGTGATCATCATCTAATGAAATCGCAAATTTTAGATTTCGCTCTGAACTTATAATGGTTCCCGTTTCCTAGTCTTATTACATAGCGGGAATGCTTTAAAATATCAAATAAAGCTGTCTTAAGGTATATAATGCAAAAAATAAGATGGCGGGAATTGGGTGAAATCAGTATAGTAGTATATCAGCTGCCCAGGTTCCTAAAACATCTTATATTCTTTATTAAAAATAGAAAAACAAAAATAGAATAATAATAAAAAAAATTTTAAACATTCTTTATTGAAATAGAAAAACAGAAATAAAATAATAATAAAAAAATTTAAACATCTATATAAGTAGTATTAAAGGTCTTTAAAGAATTTAGGATGTTTCTATTCTTTCAATTTTTTCAATTGTAAGTTTAGTTATAAAGAAAATAAATATTATTTAATTTAATTTCTGCATTTTTTATTCCATTATTTAAGGCTGTCTTATACCAAATAATTGCTTCCTCAAGATTTTTATCAATTCCGATACCATTATAATAACATTCACATAAATTAAAATAACTATCTGCATATTCATTGTTTGATGATTTTGTATACCATTCGAATGCCTTTTTATAATCTAAATTTACTCCTTTACCATACTGATAACAGACTGCCAAATTATGCTGTGCATTTGCATTTCCTAATTCAGCAGCTTTTAAAAACAATTCAAATGCTTTCTCATAATTTACATTGGTACATATTCCATTAAAATAATAATAACCTAAGTAATTTGTACATCCTGCAATTTCTGATTTCATATACCATTCAAATGCTTCCTTTTCATTTTTATCCGTTCCTATACCATAATGATAACAATTTGCTAAATTACTTTGTGCTTTCAGATTTCCACCTTCAGCAGATTTAAAGTACCATTCAAATGATTTCTTTTGACTTTTATGTGTTCCAATACCATTTTCATAACAATGACCCAAATTATATTGACCTAAAATGCAACCTTTTTCAGCAGATGTTTTATACCATTTAAATGCTTTATAACTATCTTTATTTATTCCAATACCATTTAAGTAACAATTTGCTATTTTATTTTGTGCCATTAAATTTCCTGCTTTAGCAGATATTAAATATAATTCAGCTGCTTTTTTTTCATCTTTACAAGTTCCAATACCATTTTCATAACAATAACCTAAATTATATTGTCCTTTATCACATTTTGTAAGGGCAGATTTTAAGTACCATTCAAAAGCTTTTTTTTCATCTTTAATATTTATTCCAATACCATATAAATAAAAAGTTGCTAAGAAATTTTGTGTCAAACCATTTCCTGCATGAGCAGATTTTGAATATAAGTCAAAAGCCTTCATTTCATCTTTATCAATTCCTATACCTTTTAGATAACAGATTCCCAAATTATGTTGTCCGATTAAATTTTCTGATTTTGTTGATTTTAAATACCATTCAAATGCTTTCTTTTCATTTTTATTTGTTCCTATACCATAATAATAACAATAACCTAAATTATTTTGAGCCGCTGAATTTCCTGATTCAGCAGCTTCCAGATACGATTTAAATGCATACTTTTCATCTTTTTCTATACCTATACCATGCTTAAGACAATAACCTAAATTAAATTTACCTGCATCACAACCTTTACTTGCTGATTTAAAAAACAAATTATACGCATTTATATAATGTGGCTTATGATGATGTGTTCCTACACCATAATAATAACAACCACCTAAATTATTTTGAGCATCTTTATGTCCTAAATTATCCAATTTTAAATACAATTTGAAAGCATTTTTGTAACTTTGAGTTGTACCAATACCATTTAAATAACAATATGCCAAATTAAATTGTGCTAAATCATTTTCTTGAGAAGCAGATTTTGAAAACCAATCAAATGCTAACTTTCCATTTTGATCTATTCCTATACCAATTAAATAACAGATTGCCGCTAAATTATTTTGAGCCAAAGAATTTCCATTTTCGGCAGATTTCAAGTACCATTCAAATGCTTTCTTTTCATTTTTATCTATTCCAATACCATTTAGGTAAAAAGTTGCCAAATTATTTTGAGCCAAAGAACTTCCATTTTTAGCGGATTTAAAATACCATTCAAATGCTTTCTTTTCATTTTTATTTAATATTTTACCATTTTCATAATAATCAGCTAAATTATTTTGTGCATCAGCGTTATTTGACACAGCTAATTTTAAATTTAAATTAAATTCTTCATTTTTATTTAAATATTTATTTTCAGATTATAAAAACCATTCAGCAGCTTTTAATTTACTTTTTGTTGTTTCTATTCCATCCATATAACAAATTGCTAAATTATATTGTGCCTCCGAATTACCTTTTAAAGCGGATCGCTTAATATTTTCAAACTCTTCTTTACTTATTTTTTTCTTATTCATAATTGAATTATTTGTATTATTATTTGTATTTTCTTTATTTTCTTGTGATTTTAACTTTTTAATACTATCTTGAATAATATTATTATCATTACATATAGGTTGTTCTTGTAGTTCCATTTGTTTATCAATAGTAAATTCATTAACTTTTAATATCATCGTATTGACTGTATTGATAATAATAATATCTTTATAATAATATAATGATAATAAATATTTTCCAATAATTATATTATTATTCTTTAATAAATTAAATTCATTTCTATTTTCTTCAGTTAAATATAATTTATTATTAAAATCATCATTTAAAGTAAGTGGAGGTATTTCGTTATCATAATCATCATCATCGTCGTCATGATTTTTTTTATTAACGGATAAAAAGTATAAATCCAAAGCAATTTTTTCATTCATAATACAACCTATACCAAATTGATAAAAGAATCCCATTAAACTTGTAAACCAAATAAAATTATTATTATTATTTCTTTTATTATTATTATTATTATCATAATAAAATTTCAAATTCTTCATTAAATTAAAAATTTTTTTTGGATCATTTTTATTAATTTCAAATTTAAGTTTCATCCATTCAACCAAAAATTTTTCAAAATTATTGAAATCTTTCGTTTGAATAATTTTATTATGAAAATCTTTTAAAATTTTTTTTAAGAAAATTTCACCCTTTGAATTAATAATAATAGTGGTGGTGGTGTCTTTAGCGTTTTTGGTGGTGGTAGTAATTGATAGGTTGATCTTTTTATTATTATTTTTTGACATTGTGATTATTTATTTATTCGTTTATATTTACGTTTTCTATGTTTCTTTTTTTTTTAAAAAAAAAAATAACGAAAGGGTATTTTTATTTTTATTTTTTTAAAAAAAAGAAAGAAAATTATTCTTCATTTAAAAAGATATAAAAGGTATATACAATGAAAAATAGATTTTCCTAATCAAGAAAACTGAACAACGGAACAAATATTCCACAAACTCCGATTGTATCTTGTTTATTTGTGGCGCAGTTACTTAAGAAAGTTTATTTTAATCCGGGTTACAACTTGTTAAAAAAGGGAGATCGTCGGTCTTCAGTCTTTTTAAGGCCGATCGGTCTTTTTTTTTGCAAATAAAAAATTTTTTTTAGCTTTAAATTTAATATAAAAATCATTTAGGGTGCATTGGAAGATTGGGAGCTATTGGAATCTTCCAATTCTTCCAATTATTCCAATTCCAAGCCAATTGGAAGCTTCCAATGCACATCAGCCGCACGGCCATACATGTGGGCGTAATTATTTCAGATAATTCGGCATTAAGGTGGCGTAATGGTGAAATATATTACACCTCGAAGATTCATATGAAAATAGTATTACACCAGTATTAAAATGACAAGAACTGGCGGTGAATTAAGAGAACAAATGTCTTTTTAGATTCATTTATGAATTTTTTTGGTAGTTTATAGAAGTCTTTACGAAAAATATTATATCTGCGTATTATAGTATCATGTTGGCTTAAACCACGCTTGGATTTAACGGTAATTGGAGAAATTGGTGTAGGAGGTATAAGCCATTATCCTTGAATGTTGTTATTATCTAAATAATAAATGAGAGTTATGTACAACTTTTAATTCGAATATCCTTTTTTTTTTTATCAAAATATACTTTTCCATTTGGCCATGAGCCCGCTTTTTCTTAAAATATTTTTTTAAAAGAATATTTTATAAAATTGCTATTCTTACACAAGTATATTCAAAAAAAACTTATTTTTCAGAATAGTGGCCTATTATTTAAGTAAAAAGTGAGAAATGGGTTTTTCGCGGCTCTGTTTTGCCTAATAATTTTATTTCGCGACGCAATTTTTTTTTACCTCAGCTGATCATTTAGTCAGATGACTAACCATCAGCTGATTTTTAGTGTTACGGCATAATTTTTGGGTACGATTGATTTGATTTTATTTAATCTTCATAATTCCGAATAGAACAAATCCGCCGATATGTTTACATTCGCAATATAACATTAAATAATTCCATCGTGAAAAAAAAAATATTACTATCTAAGCTTAAATTATTGAGATAGCGCATCACTGAGCTTGAGGCAGAGAATGCTCAGAATGTGGAGTTAGAGTGGAGGGCATAGTGCTTCGATTCGTGCACGGATTCATCCGGATTGTCAGATTTCGATAACTTAAAACTTTTCCGAAACCAATGATCAGATTTAACAATTAATGGCTTGTTTAATAGTCCTTGATGTAAATTTTCGAAATAATTATTTTTTTTTCTAGATTTTAATTTTCATCCGGATTTTTTTGTGTAACCCGGATGACGGATTTAATCTTGCCGAAAATTTTAAGACGTTGTGGTTTTAAAGACAATGAAGTAGAAAAATTAAGACATTGATTTTGATGAATCAGAATCAGAGAAAAATCGTAAAATTTGCATCATAACAGATAATAGAATTAGGCATAGCGCCTATACACAAATAGTCAAATATGATATAATATAGACGCAGGTCAAAAGCTTTGATTATTAATCGGGGTGTCAACACTTGTCGTAATTCACTACGCCATATACAAATATGATGTAATATAGGCGTAAAAATTACCGCTTTTTTCTAAAGGCTTGATTATTAATCAACGTCCAAAGCATGTTAATCCTTATTCAGTCGTACATCTTATATAAATGGCCACTTTTGAAACCATAGAGCAAATAAAGTAAGTGAAACCTAACCTGTTTCGCAAGTTAATAATCTCCCTCTTTTCTCTCTTAAGTGCGTATAAAACAAATAAATAAATAAATAAATCTCTTAAGTGCGTATAAGTGGTTAGGAAATCTAAAAGAAGCATGGCAGAAAAAATTGATTACGGAATTTGTGGAGCCTTTCAGGTAAGAAATGAGGGTACAGAAAAAAAAATGCTTGAATGAAATTCTATTTAATAATCGTGATATTATGGAGATACTCTAATTTTGGTAGAAAAAAAAAATCTTAGTTTTTATTTGTTAATTACTTTTTAAGCTAACGACCATTTTTATGTAGAAAGGACGGAACAATGACTCCCTTCGGTCCGACGGGGAGGAAAGTAGAACCATACAAATTCAACCCGGTAATCATCATCACAATTTGGGATGCGTGGAGTCTTCTCTGGGCTTACGTACATCGGCCTTCGAGACGAGTTGCGAAAAAGATGACGTCAGAGGAACAAATAAATTATATGATAAGAAGCCTGGAATTGTTGGCGAAAAGCCTAATGATAATACAGCCGGTTCAAATTCTGCGCCCATCAACAGTCAACGTGACATTTTCCCCGCACCAAATATTATCAAACCGGAAAGGAACAGTGATACGATGCATGTTTGGTGCATCGATCCGTTGTATACCACCAGTGAACGATCAGGCAGCGAAGTCAAGGGTAGAGAACATGGCGGCGTTAAAGTGTGCGTCGAATGCTTCGGATGCCATAACCAGCGAAAAAAGGAGGAATTGCAGACACAATTTGGGGAATTGTGCGGAATCGGTGCCTTTCGAGGCGATGCGTGGGAATTTCCAACACTTGAGAAAACGTGTCGAACCTGTCGTTTTGTACACGCATACTCTCGCCTTGCCCAGGAAGAAGGATCAGTCAGAATTGATAGCCAAAGCGCCATGTTGCAAGTGCACGTATATAATAGAAAAGATGCTTCACAACGAAGCTGCAACGATACTCCCATATCAACCTTAGTTGAAAAATTCAAGGACAAATCTCGCATTGCGGACTTTATTAGTTTTAAGGTTCTTGATACTGATCCAAAGGAATTAATGTATTATATATCTTGTGTTGCCGAATACGGCTTTGATCATATAATCATTGTTGGAGAGACAGATTATGGAATGATTTTTTTAGATTGTTATGGCCGGGTTTTTCAGTTAGATGATGAGAGTCAATTTCTATGGCCACTTGGGGATTCTCCCGAGGAAGCGCAAAAATATTCAACTGATGGGGATGAGTTAGCATGGTTCGTAGAGAATGGAGTTGTACGCGAGTATGTTAGGAAACCTCAATGTACGTACTATATGCAAAAAATTATTATGGCAGCATTGTGTATTGATAATATTACTTTGACTAATTTTTACACTTTCTTTCAGATGTATATCCTGAGGCGACAATGGAAATAGAAGAATTAGCAAAAAAATATCGATGAATTAGTTTATATAATTTTAATTTTAACGTAATATTTTACTTCCAAAAAATTTATAACAATCTACTGAAATAATAATACATTTTAATGCTAGTTTATATAATTTTAATTTTTTAGCGTAACTACTGAAATAATAATAATAATAATACATTTTAATGCTAGTTTATATAATTTTAATTTTTTAGCGTAATATTTTACTTTACTGAAATAATAATACATTTTAATGCTAGTTTATATAATTTTAATTTTTTAGCGTAATATTTTACTCTACTGAAATAATAATACATTTTAATGCTTTTTCCTATATTTTTTGTTCTCCTCTCTTCAATAAAAATCTTCTATATATGCATCATTCGATATCAAGTCTGTAAACAACATCGATGAGTAATTGGCAAGAAAATCCCTTCTCCCAGACATTAATGATGTAAATTTGCGGTTAGAAAACGTCCAGAGCTAAAAGATCTACACATTATTTATGGGATAGGATCCAAGCTATCATTTCGTTTATAACTTGCAGTATATCATTTTAAGGATCCCTGAAAGGACCAATATCACGCGAGGAATTTGTACATATTTTCGTAATCTAATTCCTGGGCAGGACCTTCATATTTTTCAGACCATATTATCCCACCAGTTGATGCCTTCATTATTTATTTACTTTCTTTATTACCTATTATTTATTTATAATTAGTGGCCTTTGATTTTTTACAAAAAAGTTCTAATGTTGTTTTCAAATAATTTTCTGTTATTTTCATATTAATCTCTCCATTTGACTTTTCCATCAATTCTTCTGACTCTACTGTAATGCGGGCATATGCCTCTTCTAAAGTCTCATTTCTTTTTACAGGAATAAACAAATATTGATGTGATAATTCTCTGAAAGTATTATTACTTCCGTTCCAACTTGTTTTTCCATTGTAAAAATCATATGTACTATTGTTATTATTCTTGAAAATAAGTGTATTTTCAGTCACTTGTTTCTTTGGGACTAATTGCATTGGGCTTTGACACTGCTTTGACCCAGCTTTGCTGAAGTTATTACCTCTTCACCTTGTGTTTCCACATTTTTCTTGGCAGTGGTATCTCTCAGTTTGCATACCAATACTGACATACTTTTTTTCAATAATAGGATTTTTACATTTTTTACACATACCCCTCTGCACTACAAATGCTATATTTTGTACTCTATTTCGTACTCACTGGATAGTCTTAACTTGCTAAAAATTATTTAGTGTCCTTTGTGTTGAACTTTGTGGTATAGACTGTGGCGCAGGCTGTTGCACAAGTTCTTTGCAGAAATATTCTAAATCGCAAGCGGATCGTAACAAAATCGCATCCTGAACGACAAGTATTCGGTAATAACTTGATTAAATTTAAAAAAGAATTTGCCAATTAATTCGTCTACAAACAGTTACTGCATATTAAGAAAACCGTTACCAAATTCATTGCAAGACCGTAAATAATTAATAAATTAATATTCTCGAAGTTGTAAATAATTAATAAATTAATATTTTCGAAATTATGAATTATTATTTTCGAAAGTGTAAATTAATATTTTCGAAATTGTAAATTAATATTTTCGNAAAATTTACGCGACAAACTATTTTAGCTTAATTACGCGTTTTTCATAGCAATTTATTTTTTAACTATTATTAGACTATTATATGATAAGCAAAAATTTACGCGACAAACTATTTTAGCTTAATTACGCGTTTTTCATAGCAATTTATTTTTTAACTATTATTAGACTATTATATGATAAGCAAAAATTTACGCGACAAACTATTTTAGCTTAATTACGCGTTTTTCATAGCAATTTATTTTTTAACTATTATTAGACTATTATATGATAAGCAAAAATTTACGCGACAAACTATTTTAGCTTAATTACGCGTTTTTCATAGCAATTTATTTTTTAACTATTATTAGACTATTATATGATAAGCAAAAATTTACGCGACAAACTATTTTAGCTTAATTACGCGTTTTTCATAGCAATTTATTTTTTAACTATTATTAGACTATTATATGATAAGCAAAAATTTACGCGACAAACTATTTTAGCTTAATTACGCGTTTTTCATAGCAATTTATTTTTTAACTATTATTAGACTATTATATGATAAGCAAAAATTTACGCGACAAACTATTTTAGCTTAATTACGCGTTTTTCATAGCAATTTATTTTTTAACTATTATTAGACTATTATATGATAAGCAAAAATTTACGCGACAAACTATTTTAGCTTAATTACGCGTTTTTCATAGCAATTTATTTTTTAACTATTATTAGACTATTATATGATAAGCAAAAATTTACGCGACAAACTATTTTAGCTTAATTACGCGTTTTTCATAGCAATTTATTTTTTAACTATTATTAGACTATTATATGATAAGCAAAAATTTACGCGACAAACTATTTTAGCTTAATTACGCGTTTTTCATAGCAATTTATTTTTTAACTATTATTAGACTATTATATGATAAGCAAAAATTTACGCGACAAACTATTTTAGCTTAATTACGCGTTTTTCATAGCAATTTATTTTTTAACTATTATTAGACTATTATATGATAAGCAAAAATTTACGCGACAAACTATTTTAGCTTAATTACGCGTTTTTCATAGCAATTTATTTTTTAACTATTATTAGACTATTATATGATAAGCAAAAATTTACGCGACAAACTATTTTAGCTTAATTACGCGTTTTTCATAGCAATTTATTTTTTAACTATTATTAGACTATTATATGATAAGCAAAAATTTACGCGACAAACTATTTTAGCTTAATTACGCGTTTTTCATAGCAATTTATTTTTTAACTATTATTAGACTATTATATGATAAGCAAAAATTTACGCGACAAACTATTTTAGCTTAATTACGCGTTTTTCATAGCAATTTATTTTTTAACTATTATTAGACTATTATATGATAAGCAAAAATTTACGCGACAAACTATTTTAGCTTAATTACGCGTTTTTCATAGCAATTTATTTTTTAACTATTATTAGACTATTATATGATAAGCAAAAATTTACGCGACAAACTATTTTAGCTTAATTACGCGTTTTTCATAGCAATTTATTTTTTAACTATTATTAGACTATTATATGATAAGCAAAAATTTACGCGACAAACTATTTTAGCTTAATTACGCGTTTTTCATAGCAATTTATTTTTTAACTATTATTAGACTATTATATGATAAGCAAAAATTTACGCGACAAACTATTTTAGCTTAATTACGCGTTTTTCATAGCAATTTATTTTTTAACTATTATTAGACTATTATATGATAAGCAAAAATTTACGCGACAAACTATTTTAGCTTAATTACGCGTTTTTCATAGCAATTTATTTTTTAACTATTATTAGACTATTATATGATAAGCAAAAATTTACGCGACAAACTATTTTAGCTTAATTACGCGTTTTTCATAGCAATTTATTTTTTAACTATTATTAGACTATTATATGATAAGCAAAAATTTACGCGACAAACTATTTTAGCTTAATTACGCGTTTTTCATAGCAATTTATTTTTTAACTATTATTAGACTATTATATGATAAGCAAAAATTTACGCGACAAACTATTTTAGCTTAATTACGCGTTTTTCATAGCAATTTATTTTTTAACTATTATTAGACTATTATATGATAAGCAAAAATTTACGCGACAAACTATTTTAGCTTAATTACGCGTTTTTCATAGCAATTTATTTTTTAACTATTATTAGACTATTATATGATAAGCAAAAATTTACGCGACAAACTATTTTAGCTTAATTACGCGTTTTTCATAGCAATTTATTTTTTAACTATTATTAGACTATTATATGATAAGCAAAAATTTACGCGACAAACTATTTTAGCTTAATTACGCGTTTTTCATAGCAATTTATTTTTTAACTATTATTAGACTATTATATGATAAGCAAAAATTTACGCGACAAACTATTTTAGCTTAATTACGCGTTTTTCATAGCAATTTATTTTTTAACTATTATTAGACTATTATATGATAAGCAAAAATTTACGCGACAAACTATTTTAGCTTAATTACGCGTTTTTCATAGCAATTTATTTTTTAACTATTATTAGACTATTATATGATAAGCAAAAATTTACGCGACAAACTATTTTAGCTTAATTACGCGTTTTTCATAGCAATTTATTTTTTAACTATTATTAGACTATTATATGATAAGCAAAAATTTACGCGACAAACTATTTTAGCTTAATTACGCGTTTTTCATAGCAATTTATTTTTTAACTATTATTAGACTATTATATGATAAGCAAAAATTTACGCGACAAACTATTTTAGCTTAATTACGCGTTTTTCATAGCAATTTATTTTTTAACTATTATTAGACTATTATATGATAAGCAAAAATTTACGCGACAAACTATTTTAGCTTAATTACGCGTTTTTCATAGCAATTTATTTTTTAACTATTATTAGACTATTATATGATAAGCAAAAATTTACGCGACAAACTATTTTAGCTTAATTACGCGTTTTTCATAGCAATTTATTTTTTAACTATTATTAGACTATTATATGATAAGCAAAAATTTACGCGACAAACTATTTTAGCTTAATTACGCGTTTTTCATAGCAATTTATTTTTTAACTATTATTAGACTATTATATGATAAGCAAAAATTTACGCGACAAACTATTTTAGCTTAATTACGCGTTTTTCATAGCAATTTATTTTTTAACTATTATTAGACTATTATATGATAAGCAAAAATTTACGCGACAAACTATTTTAGCTTAATTACGCGTTTTTCATAGCAATTTATTTTTTAACTATTATTAGACTATTATATGATAAGCAAAAATTTACGCGACAAACTATTTTAGCTTAATTACGCGTTTTTCATAGCAATTTATTTTTTAACTATTATTAGACTATTATATGATAAGCAAAAATTTACGCGACAAACTATTTTAGCTTAATTACGCGTTTTTCATAGCAATTTATTTTTTAACTATTATTAGACTATTATATGATAAGCAAAAATTTACGCGACAAACTATTTTAGCTTAATTACGCGTTTTTCATAGCAATTTATTTTTTAACTATTATTAGACTATTATATGATAAGCAAAAATTTACGCGACAAACTATTTTAGCTTAATTACGCGTTTTTCATAGCAATTTATTTTTTAACTATTATTAGACTATTATATGATAAGCAAAAATTTACGCGACAAACTATTTTAGCTTAATTACGCGTTTTTCATAGCAATTTATTTTTTAACTATTATTAGACTATTATATGATAAGCAAAAATTTACGCGACAAACTATTTTAGCTTAATTACGCGTTTTTCATAGCAATTTATTTTTTAACTATTATTAGACTATTATATGATAAGCAAAAATTTACGCGACAAACTATTTTAGCTTAATTACGCGTTTTTCATAGCAATTTATTTTTTAACTATTATTAGACTATTATATGATAAGCAAAAATTTACGCGACAAACTATTTTAGCTTAATTACGCGTTTTTCATAGCAATTTTTTATTTAACTATTATTAGACTATTATATGATAAGCAAAAATTTACGCGACAAACTATTTTAGCTTAATTACGCGTTTTTCATAGCAATTTATTTTTTAACTATTATTAGACTATTATATGATAAGCAAAAATTTACGCGACAAACTATTTTAGCTTAATTACGCGTTTTTCATAGCAATTTATTTTTTAACTATTATTAGACTATTATATGATAAGCAAAAATTTACGCGACAAACTATTTTAGCTTAATTACGCGTTTTTCATAGCAATTTATTTTTTAACTATTATTAGACTATTATATGATAAGCAAAAATTTACGCGACAAACTATTTTAGCTTAATTACGCGTTTTTCATAGCAATTTATTTTTTAATTATTATTTAAACTATTATATAATAAAAGGTTAATTAATAAAGTCTGGTTTTCTTTTTTTTTTACATTATAAATAATAATATTTTATTAATAAATATAATTGTATCAGTTTCCTTCTTTAAATTACAACCGTTATTTTTATTTTACAAATTAATCTTCTATGGCGGATAAAACTACTATTAAACGTGGTCGAAAGAAAAAGCAGCAGGAGGGACCAAATAATGAACCTTCTGGTAATTTTCTTTTGGGTATCTTTGCTTTAATCGGCAAGGCTTGTGATTATTTTGTTTACGCCTTTTGAAACTGAAATCCAAGTACCAGTTACCAAAACTCCTGTTAAACGTGGTCGAAAGAGAAAGCAGCAGGAGGAGCCAAATAATGGACCTTTTGGTATTTTTTTGGGGTATTTTTTGCTTTAATAGATAAGGCTTGTAATCACTTTATTCATGCCTTTTTATTTAGTTCTAAATACTGAAATCCAAGTACCAGTTGCCAAAACTCCTGTTAAACGTGGTCAAAAGGAAAAGCAGAAGGAACTTACTAATGAACCATTAATTATTAGCGATGACGATCATCTTTCATGTTAATGTTTGCTTTAATTGATAACTGAAGGCTTGCGAATATATTGTTCATGCTTTTTTCCTTCCTTTAGTTCCAGAACCAGTTAACGAAAGTCCTAATAAGCGTGGTCAAAAAAAATAACAGAAAACCGTTATTCCTTCAAGTTCAGTTAATGAACTTTTATACAGTAGTGATGATGATCTCACGGGTAAGTTTCTTCAATCGATTGATTAGTAAAGCTTATTATATTTTATTCACAATTTCTCCTTTAGATGAAAATCGAGGCAATGATTGTAATGATAATGTAGACATCAGACGCAAAGATGCTACATTTCAATTATCATTATCTCCAGTTAGTTCACCTCCAAGAACTCTTACGTCAATAACAAAAAACATGAATACTAGTAACATATTCACTCCATTTCGTGATATGTCAAACAATGCATCTGGAGCTGTCAATAGTATGCCTGGATCTATTGATCCCGAACTTCCAACACCTTTTCGTGAAATGGGCACTATCCACCAACTCTGTCTATTGTTATGTGCTAATCCGAGTGTCTTACAATTTGCTTACAGCTTGTATTTATCGATGCAAACGCCAGTCGCAAACAGTTCATCATTTGTACCATGTGTATCTGCGCCACCACAATTGCAACAAGAACAAGCTCAAGACAAAGTAATATTTTAATAGATTCTATTCTAATTGATTTTTTCAGTTTATTTTATTTTAAATTTTTAATTAACCCACATTTTTATTTTAAATTACAGACAAAAATTGGCCGTGACTTTTTGGAGGAATTAAAATGCCTCTTCCTTCGGGTCCGTGATCCTCCAAAAAGTGCACTTGAAGAATTAGTGCGAAAAATCGTCAAATGTGATCTTAATTCGGCTGATGGTATCGAATGGCTTCGGTTAGCCAATAGGAATTTTGGCGATTTTCGCAACAAATTTATTGATGGGATAGAAAGATTAATCAATTCCTTTAAGGAAAGATTGGAAAGGTTAGTACTATTTAGAAAATGCTTATAGAAGTTGTGTGTAATCTTACAATAGTTTTCTAATCAGTTTTAACAATTTTTTATAGTGATCGTCTGCCGCAAAAGGAGGAAATAAGTGCTTTCATTGATGATACTGTTGTAATGAACGTCTTGCAGAGGTGGTTGAATGCCACAAAGATAGATGAGTTACGCTCAAAAAACTCTCTAAACATTTTGCGCCAGTTTATTCGGAAGGCATTTGTTGTCAATTATGTATCCAGAGATACTGACGCTACCAAAGCCCTAGATATATTAACGCAAAAAATTGCCGTACCATCACGAAATGGCAATAATTTCGCGAGCAACTTGAAAATTTAATTATTTTCAGTTATTATTCATTGGCATATTTATTAATTTAATTTTTAACTATTATTTTTTATATTTGTAAACATTTAATTTCGCTTTTATACTTAAAAAAAAAATATTATTAATTTGCTCTTTTTATTTAATTTTCTCATGTTTTTCAATAAAAAATATATCTAAAAAAAATTAGTCATCCATCGTTGAATATTCGCCAATACATTGTAAATTTTTATTTAATTTTTTTCATGTTTTTCAATAAAAAATATATCTAAAAAAATTAGTCATTCCATCGTTGAATATTCGCCAATACATTGTAAAAAAGTTTCAGATTAATTTATTCGGCTAATTTTAAACGCTAAGAACAATTTCTTAAAAATGATAATTATAATTTGTCACAGCTTTGCTACTAATTCTCAACCGAATTTGCTACGATTCGTGATGATTTCGTTATGATAACATGCAGTAACGTGATCGATACGAATTTCTTACGAATCAGAGTCGTTCATGTGACGACTTAGTAACAAAATACCAGGTTTCTGCAAAGTTGTTGTTCTGCCTGTGCCCTTGGGCAGTCTCCGACTGGTCTGTATTGCCTTTTCCCTTTCATATTCACATGGCTTGTTCATGCCCTCATATCTCTGAATGTTTTTCCACATCTTTCACATGGAGGAATCATTGCTACTTTATCTTGTAGGTTGTATCTAGTATCCTTTCTATATTCAATTCAAAAAATTTTTTTTGTATTTTTAATTAATTGCTTCCGTTATTTTTCTTTCATGCCAGAGCTTTGAAGCTAGCCTGTACTGACCGCAGGGGATGCAAATTTGTAATACAGAATTTGTCCCATTACCACAATTTTTATATGGCATTGGTAGTGTAGACCCTTTTCTTAACACAAATGCATGCTTTCTGCAGTATTGATTTTTTGTGGGTCGGGTACAATATTCTTTTGTTCCTTTTACTAGCCAATGGCATGGTATATTGCCAGTCTTTATTATAGTGTTTTAACCTTATATATTAGAGTACAATTTCAATTTCGCATTATTGTCTCGTTTCTTACGTGATACTCAGTTCAGGGTATCATGTGGATCATCTACGAAGTAAGAATCATGTTATCATAGTATTTTGTCACACAAAACCTAATCATCATATATTTTAGTCATTTCCTCGTTACAAAAAATACCACATAAAAAACACACACAAAAACTAACAAAAAAAAACTAACACAAAACTAACACAAAAAACTAACACAAATCCTGTGTAAAAAAACTAGCATAATTACTAACATGAAAAAAAACTAACATAAGACTGGATGTGCCTTTATTGCGGTTTTCAGAAATGTTGGCATTGATAGATTTTCCATATATTGTATATTTTGTGTTTTTGTGTTTTTCCGGACATTTTTGATGACAATTTCTGGACATTTTCCAGATATTTTCCGGACAAAAAAGAACACAAAATACAAAACACAAATACAATATTTTGTCTGTAAAATATCCGGAAAATATCTGGAAAATGTCCAGGCAATGTCCAGAAATTGTCATCGAAAATGTCCGGAAAAAAATTATATTTTGTTTGTTTTTTTCTGTCCAGAAAATATCTGGAAATTGTCCGGAATTTGTCATCAAAAATGTCCGGAAAAACACAAAAACACAAAATATACAATATATTGAAAATCTATCAATGCCAACATTTCTGAAAACCGCAATAAGCAGTCTCCGACTGAAAGATGAGTATGAGTAAACAGAGTAATCTAAGCAGGCATACGTGGACAGGCGTGAGTGGGTATAAAAACGATATTATAATATTAAAGCATATGAGTGGTGGACATGTGCGTTGCTGAGCCTCAGCAACACACAGGGTATGCTTTCATTTTTATTAGCAATGCATGCACAATAATGTTTTTATTATATGAAAGCAAAAAAGTAGGGGAGGGCGTGTTACTTGCGGCAACATTGCAAAGATGCTTTCATTTTTTTATAAAACAATAAACGAAGAAGGGGAGTAACCATGTGATATGTAGGCATAGAGGCTATTATAATATGAAAGCAAATCAAGGTGGACATGTGTGTTGCTGAGCCTCAGCAACACACAGGGTATACTTTCATTTTTGATAGCAATAAACGAAGGAGGGGAGTGAAAAAATTGTCATGCCCCAAAGTTAAAGTTGGGGAGAACGAAAAGGGCTTCTTCCCCAGTTTTAACTTTGGGGCAAAAAAAATGTAGTACTCTAAGTTAAAGTTGGGAGAAAAAAAAAAGTTAACTTCCCAGTTAAATTGGGGAGAAAAAAGATAACGTACCCCATAGCTAAAGTTGGGGAGAAATAAAGGTTTCTTCCCCAGTTTTAACTTTGGGGCGAAAAAAATGTAGTACTCTAAGTTAAAGTTGGGGAGAAAAA